AGCAGAAGTCCAACTCACCTGCTTTAATCTTAATAAAAGTGCATAAAGTGAAGTTACAGAGGATATAAGTTAATGCTGATTTACATCTGCGCCAAGCTTTTTATTGTTCTACATATGTCAACTTGTCCTTCAGCCAACAGTTTAGCCAGTTGTAATTTGTAATTTAGGGACAATTCTCTAAAACCAGCTCATTTTTAGAAGAAAAGAAAGAAACATAAAGCCTGCTGTGCTGCCGCTGCTGCTAATGCATAACTCCATACAGCTATGACCTCTGTGGTTGGGCAGGAATGAATGACGGGAGGTGGGTTCAGGAAAGAGTGCCATGAAATGTCACGATCTATTTTTTTGTGTTACAAAAAAACCCACACCACCACCACCAATCATTTTCTGTAGTTTTTTTGTTCACTGTGTGCTCAGCCTTGATTCTGTGTGGTTTCTTACCAACGTACAACCAAATAAACTGAATTAATAACTATGTATTTACATTTTAATTATATTTCTCTGCGTTTGCTGACAATTAAAACAATTTGAAAAGACATAAGTGCACTTTGATCGTAACACACAAGCAGCTAATGTGCATCCACATGTGTCACGGAGATGTTCACTCACCAAGAGGCTGTGGTTTGAAATTCATCAAAAACTGCATATATACCTAAATGCAGGCAGAGGTATTTTAAAAGCTCCAAAAATGGACTTGTGGTAGATACTTATTGATCCCATCACTGTGAAAACATGTGTTCATACTTGGCCTGGTTAGGCCTGCGGGCTTTAGGCTCATTCCAGGCCTGTATCAGGTTCAGTCAAACTCATGGGGTCTATTTGTGGATCATTCTGCTTCATTTTATGCACGGGGCGTTTAAAAAAATGAATGAATGAACATCCCTGTGCTATAAACCTGATTTATTATCTTGAAAACGGACATAAATAAACAATTTTCTGTGGAAAATTATTCTGTGCTTTGCGACTCCTCGTTTGCGATTGGTCGAGGAGCCAATTAAAGATTCTGCGCACACCTGTGCTCACAATTAAGAAAACATCTGTCTGTCGCTAATCGAACCCCCGCTTTAGCTAGCCAAGTGTAGCAGAGGGCTGTGATGTTATTAAAGTAGCCTTTGTTATGAGATAAATGTATTGGCTAGGAACCGGCCACTTAACTTAGTAGCTAAGTGCATAGTTGGAGAAAATTTTGTCACGGCTAATTATTTTTAAATATTTATAAACCGTTTTGTTTTGTTTTGTATCATTTTTTAAAAGTATTTTTGGTCCAGAGCAGCTAGCTCCGTTTTGGCCTTACCTGCGTTTCCGACAGATTCAGCTGTCTCGCGAGCTCCGTGCGCTCGCGCCCCACTACGTACTGGCACCGCTGGAACTCGAGCTCGAGCCGGTACAGCTGTTCGGCCGTGAAGGAGGTCCGCGTGCGTTTGGGCCGATCCAAGTCGAGGCCCTTGGGCAGGACGATCTCTCGGATGGTGCCTTTGGCGTCTGTCCAAAAAAAGAAACGTCGATTCGGTTAAAGTAAGTGTTAACGTGAGGCTGTGGTGGTTATAACATAGCAACAGATAGCTGCTGAAAACGAAACAGAGAAAAACAGCTAAAAACTAGATTAATCGACTTTCCAGCAGGTGCAGACTTCAGAAACAGAACTATAAAGATACTAAACCGGCCAATATACGACTTCAGAGAGAAAACACGGGGGCAAACAGACTCTGTTATCAGTAATGAGCCTGGGTGTTAGGTGTTGTATGATGGCACATACTTTTAATGGTATGTTAGTTGGCTCTTCATAACAAGTAACCGAGTCACTGCCTTTAATCCACTCCCTGACGTTTCTTTATTGAACCAACGTGCCACGTTATCATTAAAACTGAATTAGTTGGGTTTAAACTTGCCCTGCGCCCAAAACGCAGGGACATACATGAGGCTTGTAGAGCTGAGGGCCATGTTGGGTTAACGTGCGTAAAAGATAAATAAATAAATAAATTTTAAAAAACCAAATTTGTGTGACGCATTGTCAAATTTATGGTACTGCGAGTATTTGGCTGTTGGTCAGTTCTTTTAAAAAAAATTAAGTGTTGTATCACTTAATTTCTGCCCTGGGTCTTAAACAGAGCTACTAATGTGTTTTGTAACACTGCGACTCAGCTGCACAGAAGCTCTCTGAGCATCGTTTCCACTCCAAGCACCAGGACTGCGCCGTTATCTGCCCCGAACATTAGTTAGCGCGCACGGTTTCTATGGGTGGCAGCTTTCCTGCTTTTTCCTTGTGTTGACTTTTAAGTATTATTGTTTCATGTTTGCCATGACTTTTTTCCCTCCCAGAATGAAAACACCGGAAAAAAAATAATAATAAATAATTTCATACATTGAATCAGACCTAGTGGAGAGCCGAAAATTAAAAAGTCCTTGATAAAAAACCACCGTATTTCTTAAAAAAGAAAACATTAAAAAGTTTGTTTGTTTTGTTTTGTGTTTTTAAACCACGTGTCCAGCCTGTGTATTTGTGGTCTCACTGTAGCTACGAATATTTGTTCGTATTTATCACAACGAATGGACGCACCAGCCAGACATGATCCCGTCGTTGTCCACGGTTTTTTCAGGTCATAAAATATGTACTCCAATAAAATATGAAGAGCTTTGAATAAAATATGAAACAAAACCGATTGAACTGGAGGCACATAGTGTTTTCTACGGGCAGGACATTGCTAACGGTAAGAGAAACGCATAGTGTGCGTAAAAACAAAACTCGTTTTTTTCTTTTGTTTGTTTTTTGTTGTTGTTAAGCTGTGCAGTTACATGGACTTGTTCGGCTCCTATAAATGTCAAACACCCTCTTTTTTGTAACGTGGAGTTGAAAATGTAAATAAAACATTGTAGCTCGTAAAACACAGCGGGTAAGTTAAAATGAGGATTGTTGCGTAAAAGACAAAAGGCGGGTTGTTTTTGGTGACAATTAGAAGCGTCTGTGAAACGCCGTGAATTCATCAGTTATGGTCCCTGAACGCCATGAGCTGTACTGAAAACGCATTTCAATCCCAGCCCTACCAACAGCTCAAACACAAGTGTTTGGTTACCCCCAGGTCCCTGATGCATAATGAGCTCTCCGTCTTTACGCACACATAGTTTATTTGTCTAAAGTGTAGCCAGGCAAGAGAAAGGAAGGGGGAAATCTTCTCTTCAGAGAGGCTAAATCTGCTTAAACACAATCATACAGTACATACAGTTTAGATATGTCCTTGTTCGAGCAGCTCGAACTGAGCAAATATTTGCAAGCAGAGGAGGAAGCCAGCGGCTGTTTGCAGACCTGCTGACCTCTCGATGACCTCGGTGGCTCCGCGGAAAAGCCGGCCTCAGCTCGAAAAACAAATCCTACCGACGTTTAACCACACACTATCCCCACCTAAATGGCCTCACAGATCTGTCCTCCAGGCCTCTTTTTCTTCTCAGATGATCAAACTGAGGCAGCACAATAAGGACCGTATGTTCCAGCACTAGGGAGTGACGAGTGCTGAGGATTCACAATGAACACCTGACTGCCAGATCTCTTAATACAGAACTACGCTTGATTCAGTATGTCCATAAATAATCACAAACACTATTTTACATACAGATAAAACGCTCGAATAGAATCACCCAACAATGTTTAATTATCTGCAACAAAGAGTCAGAAATAAAGAATGACTCTGTTATTAATAAGCCGTGTAGGTGCATTTCTACAGGAGCACAGACGGTTTTTAGACCTCTTACATGGACATTTCTCTCCCTCTTCCTGCCATAGCCCTCCTACTGAACTGTAGTAATTTTAATATTCTCTAAAGCTAAATATGCTTTTTCCCCGCTTAGTGTGAGCCATGACAGCGCACGACAAAACGCTCGATGAAAGCTAAAACTAAACCAGCCAGCAGCCATAACATCCTCAGCTTTCTACAACCTGAAAACTGATAGGCCGACATACCGAGTCTGCCCACAGCGGTTACACACTCCTGCGAAATAGATCCCCATCGAAATAACGCTCAGATTTTATTTTATTTTTATTGTCCTCTCTCAATGCAGAGAAGCTGACGTTTATGTTTTTTCATAAATGAAATGCATTCTGGGGGAAAAAATCCATGCAGGAAACTCTTACAATGGCTCACAGTTTTCAAATATTCTAAGTATAAATCAATATTTTAAACGAGGTTAAAACAGTTATTTCATAACTCAAATTATATAATTTTAATTTAATTTGCAGCTGGCCTAAAATATGTCTAACTGCTGTTTTATGTATGTTTGTGTATTTTACATACATTTAAAAAAGTACATCATGTACTTTTTTCATATTTTTTTTAGCTGTCATCGGAACACATGATTTAAGTTCTCTTCTTATGTTTTCCATGACTCTGAAAGAACTACCAGCAATCATTTACGAACTTTAAGGATTAGAAACGGATGTATTTTATTTTATTATTATTTTTATTTTCTTCTTGGCTTCATATTTTATCGGAACTTATTTTCTCATGATCTTACCCAGATTTCTGACCTCCTGCAGGAGAGTGTGGACTTTAACACTTAATGAAATATTATGTATTAATATTTGTAATAATATAATGTTACTGACAGAAAAGGCAATACACACACACTTATGTGTGTTTATT